ACTAGATTCGACCTCAGTATCGATAATAATGACAATTTCAATAACATTTTAAAAATATATATTTCATGTACATGTTGAATTTTATTATATGTATAGATAGATGTATGTAGTTTGTTACTAGAATTTGCTTAAATTATCCTCGCCGCAAATGATGTAACACCTCTATATATACATATATTTCTGGGCATTTAGTGACAAATTTTTCAAATAAGCATGGTTTTAACATTTTAATTACATAAGTTTGTCTATAAAGCTTTTTCATTAATAAGACCTTAAAATGAAGCGAGCACGATGTTTCGTTGCGGCAGAGTAATTACTCCTCTTCTAAGAAATGACCCCGCGACTTTCTTTGAAGCTCAAAGCACGTACTTAATTACAAAATGATGATATTGTCTTAATCACATTAAAAAGTGCTTAGGAATGAAGCTAGAAATCCTTTTGCTTTTAATATGATTTTGAAATGGATATGGTATTATCTATGCTAATATTATAAAGAGACAGAGTTTGTTTGTTTGTTTGTTTGAACGAGCTAATCTCAGGAAATAGTAATCCGATTTGAAAAAATCTTTTAAAAAAGGCTATACGCTATATTTCCCATCGATGGACTATTTAATATACAGTCTATCTATGGTTAGTTAGTCTATCGCTAGTTGTTATATAAATAGGTTATAAAAACCAGATTTCCCTATTACTTGACTACGGCGAAGTCCAAAGGGTGTGTACGTGTATGTATGTATGTTTGTATATATGTATGTAACTCCCTTGTATTTTGAAGAATTAAACATGGTTAGGTTCGTCTTGATATCACGAGGGTCGTAAGGTATATTAAATTAGGAATAATCAAAAAGTTTAGACTGGAAAAAGTTACTTAAATGAGCTACATGAAATTGAATATATAAACTATGGTCTTAATATATTACTGAGATAGACATAGGCTTCTGGTCCTTATAATAATATTTAGGTACTTCTATAAAAAAGCGGTTTTTTGTATCAAATCACAAAAGCAATCCGAGCGAATAAGCGTAAGTCTCCAGTTCACTATGTAAGTATTCAGCTTTTATTAACGTCCCACTGCTGGGCACGGACCTCCCTTTAATACGAGGAGGATCAAGCCATACTCCTCCATGCTGGCTAATTGCGGTGGTGGATTTCAAATGTCTTCCAAAAACTTGCTAGGTTCTCTCAGACATCTTTTTCCTCACAATATTTACTTTCATCGTAAGACAAATGGTCATCATGTTGGAAATGATTCGCACATGAAAATATCAGAGGTGCGAGACCCGGGATTCGAACCTGTTTCACTCGGTTTCCCTATCGCGTTGCCACTGGACTACCACTGCCTTGTTCACTATATTTGATTTGTTACCACAAAACTTTGATTTCGTATTCAGGTGGCATCTTTCATTATAAAGCTGAACTAATTTATTTACTGTTTAATTTATACTAACCGTTACCACCATTATTTATTACAGGAATAAATTTAACTAAATGATCGGATTCTACGGTTGAGTTAAATCGTTTTTCCATCCCTAAAAAGTATTGCGTTCATTTTAAACTGTTTTGTTTAAAAGATTAATTTCTATAGTTAGTTTTGAATTTATTAGTTGTATTCCGGGCGATGCGATTTTCATATAAGTCATTTTAGCAGAAAGCTGCTTTTTTTTAATGAAACAAATATACTAAATAATACAAGTTGATATATATATCCTCAAATTACTCTATAGAAAAATAAAAACCTAATCAACACGTGTCCAGTAATTATTATGGTAATTATGGATAGACAGACTTTTGTTCTATTGAAATTTGAAAACATTCATGTAATTCTATATATATAATTAGGGTCAAAATAAATTGTTCATGTTAGCTCCTCCTTTATTATAAAGGATATTAGTCTTTTGAATTTTCTCACAATTCAAACCTATGTCTTCTAATTGAAATGAATGGCTTATCATTGGCTTTGAAAATTTCAATTCATTGAGTCGTTTAATGCATGGTTCAATATACATACAGACAAATATTATAGAAGCTGTTAATTTATCTTGAATTATATATACGAAAGTGTGTGTATAGATTTGTTACTCCTACACAATGAAACGGCTGGATTGATTTTGATGAAATCTATTAAATAGATAGACTCCGATCCTGACACAAAGGTTACTTTTAGTAGTATAATTTACATATCACCCAAGTGGACTTAAAATATTTGAAGTGAAAACTTCTATAGGCAGGTTTGGATGGATGGAAATTCATGTAAGTCGTCATCGACATGGTCACGTGACATGTTAACGCTAACACTCATGACTTTTTTATATACATATTTTATTATATTTTTATATATTTTTGTATACGAGGGAAAAAAACACTTTTTTTCCTCATATACATCAAATTTTATCTTTTAGACTAATATCATATTACTTTATTGCATGGATTATTTTATGTCTTTCATTAAATAAGATAGATAAGTAGGGCAACAAAGAAAGCTGATTACACGTATACAATAAAAGTATGGGATCATTTGGGGAGACATTTTTATTGGATGAGCTGTTAGATGTAAAAGATTAAAATATTATTTATCCAACTTCTCAAAAGAGGACATACCTATGACGACATGTTGGGATCAATTTGTAATGACCTTACTTGCTGTGCTAGCGGTCGCGGGTTTGAGTCCCGCTGGGGGTATTAATTTGTTAAATGAATTGCTACGAATGTTTTTACTTCAGTCATGGGTGTTTATATTTATAATATGTATGTATTTAAAGTTATATAATATGTGTAGTGTATCAACTATCTACCTATATAACTATCTTGAGAGAGGGCGCTACTGTGCTCGTGTGTACATCTGATCCGCTATCATATTGTGTTTAAAAGTAAAATAGTGTACAGATAAATCTAAAAATAAGTAAATTATGTGAAAATATAAGTGAATGCACCCAATAAATGTTATAAAACGTGCGCGTTCTATATAAATCCGAAAATTGTCAAGAAACCGCAACAGCTATAGTTGGACGTTAAACTTTTCAACACAGAAAAAGTGGGAAAATACTACACTTGGGAGATTAAGAAGGTCAGTTTTTTCGATTGTTTAGACAATTAAAGATTTTTAGGCGGATAAGGCTGTGTTATAAAAATTTAGTGCAAATTTATAACCTTAAATTAAGTAAGAAAAATACAAAATCATCACAACAATCGATATTGTAGAATACCGCCATCTAGTGACCAATAGCAAAAATATTAACGAACAAATCACTATTGGAAAATAACGCCATCTACCAGTAGCAAAACTTACTACCTCCAGCGCTACAAACCAAACTACTGACATTGTTGCGTGAATACCCAACAGAGGGCAGAAGCAGTATGGAAGATATAGTAAAAATTTTACAAGTCATACAAGATGATCTATCAAAACAAAAACAAAGTATGAAAGAGATGGAACAAAATATTAAAGAATCAATTAACAACAATATCGATGAAAAATTCAACCTTATCGAAAGCAAAACTAAACAGCTAGAAATTAAAATCGAACAACAGCAAAAAACCATAGATTTTTTAGAAAAACAGGCTAGAAGGAAAAATGTTGTCTTTTTCGGGATTGAAGAAAAGGAAAAAGGATATGAAAATCTACTCTCTATAATCTTGGATATAATAAATAATAATTTGGAAATACCTTGTCAGAAATGGGAAATAGAAAATGTAAATAGAATCGGAAAATATTCTGGGAAAGTAAGACCAGTAGCTGTTACAATAACTACAATCAGCCGAAAAATAGAAATACTGAAAAATGGGAAAAAGCTTAGTAATACAAATATGTACTTAAAAGAAGATTTTCCACCTAGTGTTTTACAGAAACGCAAAGACTTACAGGAAGAACTTGAACGCGAACGACAAACAGGAAAGAGAGTAGCTCTGCGCTATGACAAAATCGTAGAACTAAAAACACGCGGATCACAACCCCGTACGCATACGGAAAGAAACAAACGACTTATGTCTATGTCACCCGAGGAGGCAGAAAAAAATAATACAAAAACTACTAACGAAGGGACAAAACATGTTTTTAAAAGAAACAAGTCACAAACCATAACAGGCTTTTTACGCCCTTCACAGTTGAACCTCAACAACCAAACACCGTCAAACGTAGATACCCCAAAAAACTAATTAATGCCTCTTCTACCTCTCTACCCCCTCCAAGCCGGCCGGTCACCGTGGAGGAGTTAGACCACTACCTCCTAAATCTTAAACAAAAACAATATAACAAGAATAATAGTATAACAATAAACAAAAGAAAAAAATCACTTAACATACATATAGCAAGTGTCAATGTAAGAACTTTACTATCGGATAGCAGACTCGAGGAATTGAAATACGCCATTAAGGACATAAAGTGGGACATAATTGGCTTATGTGAAGTTAGAAGAGGAAATGAAGAAATAGAAGAATATCCCGAGTTCATTTTATACCATACTTCTGGAACGAATGGAAGAAATGGAGTTGGATTCTTAATTAAAAAACAACTAAAAAACAATATAATGTGTTTAAAAAGCTTCTCGGATCGGGTTTCGTTACTAGAAATACGGCTAGCTGACAACTCTACCTGGTCGTTTGTTCAAGTATATGCGCCCACCGAAGCATACACAAAAGAAGATATAGACCTCTTTTATCAAACAGTGCAATCGGCCTTAGACTCTACCCAAACGAAAAACATTATATTACTTGGCGATTTCAACGCAAGAATTGGTAAAGCTCAAGAAAATGAAGGAAATAACATAGGGAAATATACATACGGTAAAAGAAGTTCACACGGTCAGAAATTAGTTGGGTTTGTACTTGAGAACGGCTATTTCATCATAAACAGCATGTTTCCGTGCAATCCACGTAAAAAATGGACGTGGCGATCACCCAATGGCAAGGAACTCAATGAGATTGACTACATACTCACAAACCAACCAAGATACATAAAAAAATTTGATATAATAAAAAATTTAAACTTTAACACTGATCACAGAATGATACGTTGTGTGTTATCTTTAGATTTGAAACCAAAAAGAAGGAAAATAAAACCTGTTGTCTACACCAGAAATTTACCAACGTTATCAAAAGATGATGCTAGTTATTGGGAAAACAAATTTATGAAAGCTGTTACTGCGTCTACCGTAGTTCAAAATCAATATGATAAATTAGAAATAGAATTACAAGAGCTTATGAAGCAGTTGCCACGTGAAAAGAAACAGCCAATTAACTATATCAACGAGGAAACAAAAGACCTGTTAGAACAGAGGAAAGAATTATGTAAGAAGAAAAGAACAACTGAAATCAAGTCTAAAATAACAAGATTAAGCAAAAAAATTAATAGGAATATCACTCACGAGAAAAAAATGACACGCAAAAAAACTTTTGAAAGATTTATAACAAAAGCAGGGGCCCTACGCAAGGCTTACAGAGAGCTGAGCGATAAGACAAAGTGGACAGTGAATATGAAAAATAGACAGGGAACTATGCAATATAGACGTCCAGATATTATAAAGGAAGCAACTAACTTCTACGCGGAGCTCTACAATACCGATGAAGAGACGCGCTCTTCAGGATTTTACCTTACGAAACCGAACGAACACAATATAGTAAATAAAGACACAGAGACACCTAATATCCTTATTTCAGAAATCGAACACGCAATAAGTACCCAAAAAAATGATAAAACCCCCGGAAGTGATAACATTGCCAATGAAGTGCTTAAGTCGCTATCAAATTCACTTCAGAAACCTCTACAAATATTATTCAACAATATTCTAAAAACAGAAACCACGCCGGAACAATGGTCAAAGTCTACAATTATATTGCTTCACAAGAAAGGAGACAGAAATATTCTCGGAAACTATAGACCGATCAGCCTCATGACGAATTTATATAAAGTTTTCTCAAAAATAATTCTAAACAGAATAACAAATAATTTAGACGAAAACCAACCGCGCGAACAAGCGGGCTTTCGTAAAGGATACTCGACTACAGATCACATACAAGTCATAACACAATTAATAGAAAAAGCCAAAGAATACAGAAAGACGTTGTATATGTGCTTTATAGACTACACGAAAGCCTTCGACTCCTTATATTTTGATGCAATATGGACGTCACTAGCACAGCAAGGCGTTGACTCAACATATATAAACATAATAAGCAGTGTCTATTCAAAATGTTACGCCAAAGTACGGTTAGAGCTTGAAGGTTCAGAGTTCCCTATAAAAAGAGGAGTGAGACAGGGAGACCCGCTCTCGCCAAAAATCTTTTCGGCAGTACTCGAGTCTGTATTCCGACGTATGGATTGGGAAACGAAAGGAATAAATATAGACGGGGAACTACTGCATCACCTACGCTTCGCGGACGACATCGTGGTATTTGCTGAAAGCGCGTCAGAGCTCGAGAACATGGTCAGGGAACTAGCATTAGAAAGCCATAAAGTAGGACTGTCACTCAACATAAAGAAAACTAAGATCCTAACCAATGGAGACCCACAAGAAATTGTTGTAGAGAACGAAAAAATCGATTATGTAACAGAGTACATTTATCTGGGACAAACAGTATCTTTTGAAAATAACACCGCAAAAGAAATACAACGAAGGATAACTCTAGCATGGAAAAAATATTGGGGCTTGAGAGAAATAATGAAGAATAACACAGTTAGTATAAATATAAAGAAGAGAATCTATGAAACAGCAATATTACCATGTCTAACATACGGTTGTCAGACGTGGGCAATAAGAAATGAGGATGAAGAAAAAATTGCTATATGCCAGAGAAAAATGGAAAGGAGCATGCTGGGAATAAAATTATCAGACAAAATTCACAACAGTGACATCAGAAACAAAACAAAAATAATAGATGTAAGGAAAAGAATTCGATTACTAAATTGGCAATGGGCAGGGCATGTTTGCAGGATGAACAATAGATGGACAAAACGTTTAACAGAGTGGATACCAAGGGACAGGAAAAGGAGAGTAGGGAGACCTAGTAAAAGATGGAGAGACATTTACAGACACAGGTGTGGTAATGACTGGATGCAAAAGGCTCGGGAAAGAGATGTTTGGAAAGGTTTAGGAGAGGCCTACGCCGCAGAGGCGACTACTACTAATATATACTGAATATTATTTTATGCTACATACACATATAGATATAGAAATATAGATTTACAAAAGTTAGTACACATATAGTTATTTAAATATATAGATAGTCATATAGTTTTATATAGATAAGTAAAAACATTTACAAATACACATTCAAAAAGTCCCAAAGATCTGTATATGTAGTTGTGTTCAAAAGAAAGAAAAATGTTAACGAAAGTAGTAAGTTAATAAAGGCTATTTTATTTTATTTTATTTTATTTTATCAACTATCTGGTATCCATAATACAAGCCTTGAAGCTTACTATGGAACTAGATGGTGTGGTTCCAACATATTTATTTATTTATCTATTTAGCTACTCAATTTGTATGTCTTTCGTGTGTATTTTACGTGATATCATCGCCACTAGTGAAGAGATTTTCATGATTTAAAAAAAAATAAACAGGCTAATTTTAAATGGTGATATCCTAAATTGCAAGAAATCTTCCATCCTTAAGGACAGAGTAATATTTTTTATATAACTTTGAAGTCAGTACACATTTTCAATAAAAAACACACGAACTTAATGATTCTTTGTTTTTCTTTATATATATAAAATCTATCATGTCTGTATATTGAATCTATACACCAATATCACACACATTCATGTTATGTATAATAAGCTGCATAATAATGTGTTTATTTGAACCAAAACAGTATGAAAACATTCCTGCCCTACTTACAAGTTACGTCTGATAGGTTACTCTTCTATCCATCAAGAATAGGCATGTTGGTACGCACAGGCCATAATGCTAGCGACTGCGGAGATAAATATGACGTATTATTATGTTTTCTGAATGGGGTCGGCGGGGGTTTGAGATGAGCGGAGCGGGTAGCGGATTCGAATTTTTCGTTTTATATATATTTTAACTATTTATAGAGGTAATTTGAATATTTTAACTGATTTTTTTAATGTTTAACTCCTTTTTCTGTTTTCTTAATATTGTAATTGAAATATGGTCTCGCCTCAGTATATCGCTGGGATATTTAAGGGGCTTAAGTAAAAATGATCTAGTACGTTAATCCAAACTGTAAGCTATTTTCATTTTAAATTTCTCTAAAAATTTTCAAGTCGTTAGGTGTAAAGAAATTGACAAACACTCTCACTTAAATTTTTTCTCACTGTTAAAATAAGACTGAAAAAAATAGAATAATAGGTTTTAATACCTTTCACATAATATATTTCATGTACATGAAACCCTCAATAATTAATTAATTACTTGTCATATATGATAATCGAACCTGTGATCAAAAAGATAACCCTTTTGGCCATATATGTATCATGCTTCCGCTTCCGCTCACTACAAAGACAGCGTCCTTAAAAAGTTCTCTCCGTATTATTTCAAGAAAAATGCTACCGAGGAAAGTAACATTCGTTGTTACTGTCATAAGGATTTGTTTTTCTTTATACGTATACACTGAGCCGATTTTCATGCGATTTTCGCATCTAACAGCATAGAAATAAGGCGAAAAATTATTTATTATATTTTACATATTTGCCCACCGTACTTATAAGATACCTTTAGTTGGATTATTACCTTACTTTGCAGGAAAAATTTTTGCTCCACATGCATTTTGAATTACACTTTATGTGTATCGTAATAAGATTGAAATTGGATTGTTTTGAGCTACAATTAAATAGCACAAACCTATAGCATAAATTCTTATATAAAATGTAATGATATTTTCGCTATACATTTTTTGATCGAACAAAGGTTTTGTTATGTATAATGATTGTATTTATAACTCCCTTACTGAGTTAATTCTATTTCCTTTATTTTGGTCAAAGGCTCCTGAAAAGTGAATTTAAAAATGAATTTTACTTGTGATAGGGTTCAATGGATTCGTAAACCTTAAATATTTGAATTATAGGTAATATATTTTAAGATTTATTTTTGTGGATATATTTTTTGCAAATTAATTATGTTGGCTTAATCTAAAAATAGTAAAGAATGACTTAGCAATTTCTATCATAAAAGAGTTTATAATAATTAAAATCTTTTTCATTCTGTCTCTCTCTATTTCTATACAAATTTAAAAAAAAAAACATTAAGGGAAAATGCCAAGTCTAATTTATATTACATTTTAAATAGACAATGAAAATATAGTAAAATGTAGCTTTAAAAAAGGAAACTCTGATAGTGATTATTCAGAAATGTAAGAATTTAAAAAAAGCTTTAAGTTTTATGGAGAAAGCTTATCCTTAAATTTTACTATAAAAAGACTTTATATATTTAGTTTAGTTATATTTTCCCGAACTATTCACTTATAGCAAGCTATTAAATTAAAGTATTAAAATTGTAAAGTGTATCCCAGGCCAATCCCACGGGATTATTTCGACTGGCTTACTTATTTACGCATCCTTACACAGCCCTAATTAAAGGATTCAATTAACTCTTAATCAAAATTCCGCTTTTCAGAACAATTACGAAACGAATTTTAAAGTCAGATTCTTGTTTGCGAAATCTTAGGGTTTAACGTATTATGTATATTTAGAACTTCCGGTGTAATTACTTGTACCTAATTAACTAAGTTATAAGTTAAGCGTCACTGAATAAGAGGGTATGGTTACGGAAACTAGTAATGATTTTCTGGCTTTAGTCGTTTATTTATATTCGTTCTAGCGACTCACTCTCACTTCGCTCTGGTTCGTCTCTATGTGTATAATATATTATGTAACATGTATAGTTATACCACAATGTATAGAAGTCTGCCCGATTTGTTGACATTTATGATTACTGCTCCGCTCCCTTGGGTAGTAGCATGATGATATGTAGCCTATAGTCTTCCTCGATGTTGCTGTGCTATCTAATACAAAAAGATTTTTTTAAATCAGGTTAGTAGTTCCTGAGATTACAACAGTGTTTAAACTCTGCCTCTGTATGATATTAGTATAGATTAGAGTTCGCCCGTTGGTCGGAATTCGACCACAATCATTATTAAAAATTTGAGGAAAACATTTTTTATTTATACCTATTAGAAAAACGGTTTCCAAAAAAATATTGATACTACCAAATCTCGACAATAGCTGCATGTCAGAGAGAAATTAACTTGTTTTTCGAAAGATGTACGAAATCCCCCACATTTGACCACTGTGATGATTTCTGAACCTTATGCCATATATTGACCAGATTTATGCCTAGCAGTAGGATGTGAAAAGAACTGAATTATCATTGATTTATATATAATTTAATACAAAAATTCTATTGATATTATACATATTATTAAAATACGAGTCTATAAATAACTATGCAAGATGTAAAAGATGATACAAGCTTATAATTATAATTTCTAAATTATTATATATGGCCAATGCTTTTAATCATTTTTTTCAAATATTCAGTTGAAACTGTTGAAAAACACTTTTGTGAAGCAAAAGCTTTCAAATCCGGAGCTTTTAGTTGTTTCGTTGACTTAGTCACTGAAATCTATTTTTAGACTTTGCCTAATTTATTTTTCACGGTCTGAGTTTTCATTCTTAAAAACTTGCATTACAAAAAGCTTTAGCTATACTAAGCTTAAAATCTGGCATTTTTGTTAGTACAGCGAAACCGTCATTTATATTATATCTATATATCAGACTACTATATAAATGGGAAATTTTGTATGTGGGTATGTTTGTTACTTTTTTATACTGGCTTTTTATATAATGGCTAGGCAGATTTAGATAAAATTTTGTTCACAAATTGACTATCTGAAATGACATATATGTATATTTCAATTAGTGAACTAGGGATGTACCCGACAAAAGAAAAGGTAAGTCGCCAGTAAACATATGTATGCGTATACAACGTACATATATGTATGTATGTACAATTTCAGTAAATTTTTCTTTTGTACGAAACTAAATAAAAATTATACTAAAGAGAGTATTTATCCCAGAAATTTTCGCATTTCATGAAAAGGGATAATTAGAGCGCTGCTGTGTTGACGGAAAATTATTTTTAAGCGCGTGTTTTTAATGTACAGATGCGAATTCAACTTTAGTAAAAACGTAGAAGTGTCACGAAATTAGGTCCAATTTAATATGTTATGTACATTTTTTGGTGAAAAAGCAGAAATTACGTATATACATATATTTATTAAAAAAATAAAATTATAAATTTATAAAAATAGCTAATGTTTTACGCCAAATCATAGTCTACATATTATATATACCTATTTTACCCAGCGTTTAAGCGTAAAAGACGCACATACAAATTTTCCCATTTTAACATTTTTAAGTGTAATTTATATCCGCGATTTTGATGCTCCGGACATTATGTTCATTTTCTATCAAGAAAACATTTAATATCAATTTTAATTTATTAATTTTATATTGCATACTAGCGACTTACCCTCGCTTCGCTCGGATGCGTATGTTCACAATTTTATGGGTTTATTTTTTTTTTTGCGCGGAACCCGGATTCTTTTTCTAAAATAAAATTAGGCTAAGTTACTTTTTTTTTTACGTTGGGAAATGCATTTACGCACGAGGTGTGGGACTCACCGGAAAAGCCAGTACTACCCACTAAAACCCAACAAAGCCTTCCCCCGTCTTAATGGGGCGTCGCAGGATCGCTTACGCATTCAACTACGACGCCCCGACGGCAGGTCTGCCGACGCAGACCACAACAACCACGGGGTTGCTCCAAAGTCTACTCTGCTATCAGAGAAGTACCAGGAGCAACCCGCATGGTACACCGCTCTCCGAAGAGGGCCACCTCCCACCGCCCACCAAAGTGGGCCACCTCCCTGTGCGTTTCTTGGCTTCGCGCCCGGTTGGGTTGCCGGGCACTACTGAGCCCCCCCACCACGACAAGGTGAACGCACATTGAGGGGGAGGCTAAGTTACTACTGTAACATAAGCTATCTGCCAATAAAAGTCCCGTCAAAATCGGTCCAGCTGTTTTGGAGATTACCCGAACAAACTTACAGACAGACACAAAATTTTAAAAATTGTTTTTTTCTTATTAGTACCGTAAATGCTTTCATATGCATTAAGTAAAAAGCTGTTATTTTAACAAACAGACACCTCAATTTTATTCATCTGTATAGATTACTCTTTATACTCTTTTTATCTGTACATAATATGTACAATGAAGTTCTCACTGAGTCGAATCTGTACATAAATATTTTTTTGGAAAATCTTATTGAAATAGTCATTATTATGATAGTCTGAATCTATAGTTTTTAGAATTATTGTCTGTTCGTCTGTCTTTCTGGGAACGCATCACGAGAAAACCACTAGACAGATTTTGATAAAATTTGGTATGATGATAGCTGGTTATCCGGGTCAACATATAGAATACTTTTTACTACAGAAAAATATCTAATTTAAAAATTTATTTAAATTTATACTAGATTTTAAAACTAAGGACGAACCGAGTGGAGCGAGGGTGAATAGCTAGTATATTAATAGTTTTAAGTTTCCATTCTATGCGATAACTGTAGTATATATCCTATCATATAGCATGCAAATGAAGTGGCTAACAAAGTCTGAATCAATACAAATAGGTATTTGTCTAAACGCGCCTGACCGTTGCTGACCTCGGCATCACCCTATTTCATTGTTTAACTGTAACATAGAGTAAGGGACATATCGGAATATTATTTTAAATACCAGAATATGTGGCTTTCTACGAAAAATAACAATATTTTAGGTTTGTTACATTAATTGAGTGAAATACAGAATAGAGATAATTTAGGTATATACTGAATTAACTAGCCTACTTTTATTGATGTACCTACTATACAGCCTCAGACTATAAAGCTAATCAGCCAAACAAAAACTTACAAACAAAACATACACATAATAGAGGGTTAAACAAACGCGACATA